AACCGCATTCTCAAGCCGATCCTGTAGGTCCTCCAGTAGTGCTGACACCCTCTCCACTTCAGAAAGTTCATCATGTGCTGAAAATGCCGCAACTTCTTCCTCAAGATTTTCAATCACCTTTTCGAAAGCGTCTTGCCCCGACATTTGCTTCTTGAGGAACTTCTCCCGATATACCACAAGTTTCTCAGATAATTTCGTGGCGAGCGACATAATTTCCCTAGGTCGGCCGAACATTTTCCACCGCTCATTCAAGGCATTCTCATCGAGTGGATAAAGCGTCCCAAACGTCTCCAAAGCCTCATACATCTCAACACACTCCTCAATTTCCTTCTGCACTTTACCAACCTCAACCGGTAAGTGGGTCAAAAATTCCGATATTTCCGACACCGTTTCAATATCCGGAATTTTACACTCAAGCCTTTCCTTAAAACGTTCAAATTTCGGCAGCACTTCAGAATTCATCCTCTCCTCTAATCGCTCCGCCTCAATCCCCAATATCCCCTCCGCCACCTCAAAAAGCCTCGCAGCCAGATCCCGCGCGATGTCCCCGAATTCAATTTTAAACATACCACACCTCACTGAACGTCCCGGTATTCTCACCAAGACTTCCTCTCTTCGACGTAGTTTCTCACTGACAACTCTTTTGACCTCTTCAGCGGTCGGCACCTCTTCCCCCCTCCCATACGCCTCTAGTTCAGCTTCAACATCAATCGCCAAGACATCCTCAAGATCTCGAAACGAACTGATATATTCCTCAAGCCACTCCTCATGTGCCATAATACTCTTCCTAACTCTACCACGACGCTCAAGCACCCATCCATCATCGTCGTTAAAGCCTTTGAAGAGCCTCCCATTTCCCATCATTTTCGATAGTAATAACCTTTCCAAACTTGGCAAATTATCTACTATCGCCAAGCTCCTCTCGAAAATCACTCCAGCAGCCTCAGCAAACTCCCTAGGGGTCCTCGTGAATGCAAAACAAGGCACATATTCTACTTCCCTTTGGCGTTCCGAACTCTCTTCCTCCTCAACAGAACGTAATTCCTTCACCAACTCTCTCTGAGCCACCACCACTTCCGTATTGAACAACACGTCTCCACTTTCGCCGCTAATTTCCTCTATACCGTATGCATTTGGTGTTCGCGATTCGAAAAATTTCGCAAATTTTTCTGTCCCCTCCACGTAAATTCTCTTCAGCGTTTCTGAAGTCATAAACTGCACCACAAGTGCGACCCTCCGTAAGGGCGACTCCAGATAACTTGCATGAGTTTCGCTGAGAGCGTATCGCTCCGCATCAGCTGATTCGTTCAGTTTCTTAATCACAACCGTCTTCAACCTCGGCAACCAACGCTCTCGAATATGCGCCATACGCGACGTATAGTGTTCATGTACCAATTTGAATTCTTCCAGTGTGAGACTCCTCGAAAGTTTCTTTCCATCCACCAACAGCGGTGATCGAGTTTCAGCAAGCTCATCACACAACGCTACGCTCGATTGCAACGCAAACACAACCTGACAAGTAGCAGCGCTAATTTCGTGACGATTTTTCCCCCAAACCTTACCTCGGGACGACTTCGCAGTGTGAGCCCAGCAAAGGCTAGTACTTGTTCTTTTACACTTCGATATTCTCTCCAAGGCACCATGCGTGCATAATTTACATAAGGAACCTCCTTCCACCTCTTTGGTGGCCATAGAATATTCCCTAAAGACTCCACCCCATCGACCGGAGCGTTTGCCATAAGCCTCTCCACGAGCGCCATCCGATTCATCTCAGTTTGATAGTTTTCCTGCACTTCTGCGACCGCTACGTCAACAGCATCGTGCAAGTCTAGGGCAGACCTGTCGACCCCTGATGCCAATGCCAGGGTTAGTATTCTCTCCATCCAGGTAAGGTCATGGTTAACCTGAAATATTCAATCTATCGTCATTCAAGTAGATGCAAATGGAAAGTCGAATTCATCGACTTTCACGATAATACACAACTAGCACCAGTGTTGGGAGAATATATGTTCGCTTTCCTCAGCTGAGCTCACGAGCTTCCTCAGCAGTACACGGCTTTAGGTGAAATAAGAATTTCCTTAGAATTTTCATGTTGTCACCAACACATGTAGTTGACCATGTGCATAGTTAGCACGTTGATACTGAGCGTAACTACACGGCTAACCTTCTCGCTGACCACGTCCTCAAAATTACACGAAATTCACTATTCGATATACCACAAAACTATCCTACTCGTACAGAGTACAGC